CCAACACCCCCACACCGCCCCTTTTCGTTCTACCGCCCCCCTGAAAAATGAAATCGCCCCCTGGGGGGCATTATTGCCCACATTAAGAACCACTGCTCTACAGGTCCTCTGGCCATACCCCTGTAGGTACTTTCACAGAAATATTACAGCTGTCGGAAAATACACTTGCTAAGAAAACATGTATTCAACTCTCACATTGCATTGATAAGTTTGGGAAAATATATTTCAGTTCACAATGCTTGATGAGAACATATTTTGTCCCATCATATAGAAACTTATTCAAGTTGCATACACATCTGAAAGTCCCATGAAATTGGGTAGTCTATGCTAGAACAAAAACTTTAGAATGTCAATAATGACCTTTTAAGCTAACAGGAAATAAATACGTGCTTTCCAAGGATGAAATGGTACAGTGGATCATGAGGAAAAAAAATATTTCAAATAAGCAGCGAAGCCTCAAAAATGGAGCAATCTAGTGATAAATATGAAAGCCAGAAAGACAACCAAGGCCAATATTCTGTTGGATATTGTGCACGTAGAACAGCAGGTATAGGGGTGAGCATAATTATTTGATTAAGTGCGAGTCACATGCCAGCCATGTGAAAAGGCTCATTCTGTGACTTCCATTCCACACATGAAAAAAATTTAACAGCATACTGGACCAATAGTCTATAATTTGCAATGGAGACAACTGACTACAGTTGCATGTGTAGCTCAATATCTTTCCTACCTGCAAAATACTGTTATTTGTCTCTTCCAATAGAGCTTCGCACATAACTATGGGTTTTATTAAATTAGAAAAAAATCACATAGTTCCTGTTATAGCCATATTAACATCTGTACTGTAGATAATTCAAACATACGTATGAAACTAATTAGAACAGAGCTTTGCCTATATGTTATAGTCTTGTTATTTACTAAACAACCAGAAGTATTAGAGAAATATGCTAAATCTTATTCCAAATCATTTTAGATTATGACAAAATATTTGCAAAAATTGGAGGAACATATTTCAGAAAAGCAGCTGAAAATTTCACGCTTGGAGAAGGAAACTGAACTTGAAACAAACGTGTGAAACAGTAAATTATTTCACGTTCTAGCTGAGAAAAGGACAATTTCAAAAGAGTGAAAACAACATCTTAAAATCACTGTTAGGAACCTTGTCTGCAATACTCAGTGAAAGAACACAATGCCGAAAAGCGATAGATTATTTGAAACTTTGAAAGACCTGCAACACGGTCTCAATGTTAGTAATAATAATTATTTGATAAAGGTTGCAGCTCTGTGCATATTTACTGGTCTCTTTGAATTTAGGATGTATAGGATCAAGCTGCAAAGTACCTTGAAAAGAAAGAGTCTGGAATCCACATTAGTGTTTGTCTTGAAGTGCTGAACCTAAAAAAGAAAAGATAAAAAGGATTTTAAATAATAAGTTCTTTACTTCTCATTGACCACGAATATGCATAGAATATTTATTCATACATTTAAGAAAAAAAGTGGCTGAACTCAGTATTGTGGCAAGATATGAATATAATGTGTCATCTGTTAAAAGCTGTCATTTCACATGATTTCTTCCCTGTACAAAATTTACATTTTTATTACAATTGTCTTTACTTGCAAGTTGCACCAAAACAAATTCAAATCATTTTAATACATTGCAGGTTACACTTCTCCACATAGATTTTCCTGTACCTGTACAGAAACAATGTGATGTTTTTGCAGATATAAGAACTGTTCTATAATTTAATTCTTAATAAAAACCTCTGGGTTTATGAATGTGGGATATTGTGCTTCTGTATCCATGATTCAAAACACCAGGATATGGCCCAATATTGCCAAAACATGGTCTAGAGGGGCGGGGTAAAAATAAAATAACTAAATAAATAAATAAATTATGTTATTTTGCCTGTGTGGCAATAGGAAAAGTGATTTATATAGCGAAGGTCAGCCTGAATGCTGACAACACTAACAGCACTAGTCAAGATGCTTTACAGCAAGGGTCCCCAACCCCCAGCCTGCAGACTGGTACTGATCCGTGGCCTTGGAAGGACCAGGCTGCTGGAATAGATGAGCAGGGAGCTCCATTCTTTGCCTTCCTTCCCACCAATGCCAAGCACACCTGTGCCCAGCCAACCCCGCTCCTTTCCCTCCAAATGCAGAAAAATGAACGGAAAGAAACATCCCTTTGTGACAAAAGGGCCAGTGCACAGAAAAAAAAAATCCAAAATGGAAGAGGCAGTTCCTGAAAAGACAAGAATATGAAATGAAAACTTCTGCTGTTCATCTCCCGAGTCAATGCTTATGTAAAATCTACTGACTCAATAGGCCAACTCCAGTTGAGAGCAACAACTGGCCTTAAAGCAACAATTCCTAATATTTTGAAAAACACACCAGGAGTTATGCTATTACTCATTTCTAGAGAGTCAAGAGTTTGCCGTTGCAAACTTATTTTCCACAGTAACATTCAGCTTATTAAACTATGAATCACTATCAGGACTGAGCATATAATCTACATGGGACATAAAGAAAGGAACTCATTTTGCTTCTGCACAATTTATCAAGATGACAAATGTGCCACTGTAAAATTCCGCAAGGACACAACTATCATAATATTATCGCATAAAGTCTACGTAGTATTTAATCCATGCTACCCAAGCACATCTTTAGTTGTATCAGCAAGTATCAAGCTGTAGCTAAAACTTATTTATAACAGTTTATATCCATATAATGAGAGGTACAGTGGGGTCTCGACTTACGAACGACCCTACCTGCGAACAATTCAACTTACGAACCTGGCCTATAGGGGAAATAAGGACTCGACATACGAACTTCCCTCGAGTTACGAACAAGAAAAAAGTGCCCCCTCCCTCCCCTTAGAGGCTTCTGGAGAGGAAAAAAGGGTCAGAAACTTAAAAATAAATAAAAGAAAGTCACTTACCAGGCCTTGGTAGCCCCCAAACAGCAGGAAAAAGAGCAGAAAACAGCTAAAAGCCCACAACAGAAGGGAGCCTGGCAGCCATTTTGTGCTTTCCCCCCTGCTCCTGCACCATCCTCTCCCCGCCTATCAGCACAACATGCTTTAAAACATGATTTAAAATTGGCTTCGTTGGAAAAAAAAAAAGATTTCTAAAGTGCTTTGCAAACTGTTCCCTACCTTCCTCCTCGTTTCCTGAACCTAAGGGGAAAAAGAAAAAGAAAAAATATCCCCCTCTAGTGGCAGAAGGCGGAATAGCAGCTTCCCATTAGTTTCTATGGACAGAAAAGAGCAGATACAGATTAAATGGTTTTCAATGCATTCCTATGGGAAATGCAGATTCAACCTACGAACATTTCGACCTAAGAACCACCTTCCAATACGGATTAAGTTCGTAAGTCGAGACCCCACTGTAGTGTAGCCTACTGAAGAGAGTATCAGACTAGGACTCAGATGAGCTGGGTTCAAATCCCTGCTCAGCCAAGGACACTCACAGGGGAATAAACTACAAGCTATCACAAGGGATGGACTATTCCTTGGATACTTCAAATACCTAAAAAATTCTAAAAGAGTCACCCTAGATTGGAAACAACCTGATGGCACATAAGAACAACATAATCAGGTTTCCATCTGCCCTAAAGGAGACACTCATTAGGCCCATCAGAAAGAAACCTAATTTGGAGACAGATGAAATTGGCAACTATAGGCCCGTCGCCAATGTTTCTTTCTTAAGCAAAGTGGTTGAGAGGGTGGTGGCTGACCAGCTCCAGGCACACTTGGATGAAACAGACACCCTGGACCCATTTCAGTCAGGCTTCAGGCCGCGCCATGCTACAGAAACGGCATTGGTCGCCCTGTGTGATGACCTGTTGAGGGAGGCTGACAGGGGCAAAGTGTCTCTGCTGGTCCTCCTCGACATCTCAGTGGCCTTTGATAGCATTGACCACGGTATCCTCCTGGGGAGGCTCTCTGAGCTGGGAATCTGGCCTGGCTCCGTTCCTTCTTGGAGGAGTGCAGCTTGAGGAGAGTGTCTCAGCCCTGTGGAGTCTCAATTGTGGGGTTCCACAGGGGTCGATTATCTCCCCAATGCTGTTCAACATCTACATGAGGCCGCTGGGTGGGGTCATCAGGGGGTGTGGAGCTTTGTGTCATCAGTATGCCGATGACACTCAGCTCTACATCTCCTTTTCACCAATTGCAGGAGATGCCGTTCTGTCCCTTCAGCGCTGCCTGGGGACTGTACTGCAGTGGATGCAGGAGAACGGCTGAGGCTGAACCCGGACAAGACGGAGGTACTGAGGGTGGGCGCCCCCACAGCTGGGGGACTGGGAAACTCCCTCTCTTTTGAGGGGGGTGACTCTTGCCACCAAGGATGGGGTCCGCAGCTTGGGGATCCATCTGGACCCGGCACTCACTATGGAAACTCAGGTGGCGTCGGTGGTCCGTACCACCTTTTTTCATCTTAGGCGGATAGCCCAGCTGCGGTCCTTTCTACCTTGGTGCATGCGCTCGTAATCTCAAGATTAGACCACTGTAATGCGCTCT